TTATTGTAAATTAAAATTAGAATCTTAATAAATGTAAATTGAAATTTCATATTGGTTAATTATTATATTTGACAAAAAATTTGAATTTTAAAAACAAAATGTTGTAAAAAATATATATGTATTATATTTAATATTTTTAAAAAATTTAAGGGATAGTTTGTCAACAATTAGAAAGAATTTTGTTAGTCACTTAACGGAATGTTTGTTAAGTAGACCATTTTGAAACAAGATTGATAGTTTATAGATCAATTTGAAAGAAAAAATTGTTTCTATCCTAAATTGAAATAAATCACATAGTTAATAAATTATTTATTGAATTTAACTGTAGATATAGTATTAAGTTCGAGTTTTATTAGGTAGATTACATGTTCATTTTAATATGAAACTTACATCTAATTTAAAATTCAACTTAAAATCAATTAAAAATAAATAAAGTGATTTTTTTTATATTTAACTCATATATTTCTTTATTATATACTTGATATAAAATTTTCTTATCCCACAAGTTTAACTTATACAACACAACCTGTATATTCAAGCTTATTTTTATGTTCATGGGGTTTTCGCATTTTTAACATGCTTAGACATCGAACTCCATCAAGCGGCCTAATAGCCGCGTGCCTTATTGAGGGCGGTGGACTGTTCACCAGATCTAAGAATCGAATCTCAGTTGCTAACATCTACCAACACTAATTTACTAATCGGTGCCCTTATAAAAAAAAAAAAAAAATACTTAGACATCCAATCCGAGGGTAGTAGACCGGATAGCAAAGTTGACCTGCGTCCTCCAAAATAATAGTGTTGGTTTAAAGCCTTGAAGGTTCGAATCTCAAACATGTCATTCTTCTCCCTTCTCTGCCCTGTAAACCACCAAAAAAATAAAAAATAAAAAATAAAAAACCTTTCTAGACATATAGAAGGATCAATTTGTTCACCCAATTCCAATAATGCAGATGGTCATCATCTTATCGTAACAAACTACACCTCCCGAGGCAGGCACAAACTCCGAAGCTACTCCTTTATCCATTCCTCCCCATCCAGACGCCCACAATTATCATGCAAACGCACATCATGTCATGCAATATTCTAAATATAGTCCATAAGGATAATATCCGACACCGTCTAACTAATCCTTTATATATGCGTGCCTATTTTTTTGCCGTTGTATACCACAGAGAATCCGGTTAGCTTGTAGAAGAACAACATGGACATTGGGACATATTACCAGCCATCAAGGAAAATCACTGCCTACGATGTCCCTGAAGGGGTGGACATTCGGGGTCGATTTGATGAGGAGTTTGCAAAGATCCTCACGAAGGATGCTTTGCAGTTCGTTGCGGATTTGCAGCGAGAGTTCAGAAACCATATCAAGTATGCAATGGAGTATCGTAAGGAAGCAAAGAAGAGGTACAATGAGGGGGCATTACCAGGGTTCGATCCTACCACCAGGTACATAAGGGAAGGGGAGTGGACTTGTGCACCTGTCCCACCTGCTGTTGCTGATCGCAAGGTGGAAATTACTGGACCCGTAGAGAGGAAGATGATCATCAATGCACTCAATTCTGGGGCTAAAGTATTCATGGTAAGTATTATGTTACCTATAATAAGTTAGAAATATAGATTGGTTAAAAAAGTTATCCTCTTGTTGCATAGTCTTAATCTTATGGATCGCAAAAAGGGTTTAATTGTCAATGCCTGTTCACTATGTTAGGCTGATTTTGAAGATGCACTGTCACCAAGTTGGGAGAATCTGATGAGGGGGCAAGTAAACTTGAAGGATGCTGTTGATGGGACAATAAGTTTCCATGACAAGGCTAGGAGCAGAGTGTACAAGCTCAACAATCAAACAGCTAAGTTGTTTGTCCGTCCCAGGGGTTGGCACTTGCCTGAGTCTCACATCCTCATCGACGGTGAACCAGCAACTGGTTGCCTTGTGGATTTTGGCCTTTACTTCTTCCACAACTTTGCAACATTCCGTCAGGCTCAGGGCCAAGGGTTCGGACCCTTCTTCTATCTACCTAAGATGGAACATTCAAGGTAATGAATTATCCGAACTTATCACAAAAAAGACTTAAAAACTCGTGAAAATGTAGTTTTTATTAACAGAACACTCTGATCTTTGTCAGGGAAGCAAAAATATGGAACTGTGTGTTTGAGAGGGCGGAGAAGATGGCGGGTATTGAAAGGGGAAGCGTCAGGGCCACCGTTTTGATTGAAACGCTCCCTGCCGTCTTCCAAATGGACGAAATCCTCTATGAGCTCAGGGATCACTCTGTAGGATTGAATTGTGGAAGATGGGATTACATTTTCAGCTACGTGAAAATGTTCCAGGGTCACTGGGATCGACTTTTACCGGATAGGGTTCAGGTCGGCATGACCCAGCATTTCATGAAAAGTTACTCCGATCTCCTCATCAGGACATGCCATCGGCGTGGCGTCCATGCCATGGGAGGAATGGTCTGTGTTTTTCCAATTTAATTACTGTAGTTTAATTCGAAGTTAAGATCAAGAATTCAAGATAGCATATTTAACAAAGTTTCCTTGAACAGGCAGCTCAGATTCCGATCAGGGATAATCCGGCGGCGAATGAGGCGGCGCTGGATCTTGTGAGGAAAGATAAATTGAGAGAGGTGAAGGCAGGGCATGACGGAACATGGGCGGCGCACCCTGGACTCATCCCAGCTTGCATGGAAGTCTTCACCAACAACATGGGCAATGCTCCAAACCAAATTCAAACCCTGAAACGAGAAGACGCGGCGAACCTGACGAAAGAAGACCTCCTACAAAGGCCGAGAGGAGTTCGTACCATGGAAGGCCTCCGCCTGAACACCAGGATCGGGATACAATACCTTGCAGCATGGCTCACTGGAACAGGGTCCGTGCCTCTGTACAACTTGATGGAAGATGCTGCTACGGCAGAGATCAGCAGGGTCCAGAACTGGCAATGGCTGAAATACGGAGCGGAGTTGGACGGAGATGGGTTTGGGGTGAAAGTGACCCCTGAGCTGTTTGGGAGAGTGGTGGAGGAAGAGATGACCAGGATTGAGAACGAGGTAGGGAAGGAGAAGTTCCGGAAGGGAATGTACAAAGATGCTTGCAAGATTTTCAGCCGGCAGTGCATGGCGAAGACGCTGGATGATTTCCTGACTTTGGATGCCTATAATCACATTGTGATGCATTATCCAAAGGGGGTGTCTAAAATGTGAATTGGAGGCCATCCTTTATTAGTGGTTTTCTTTGGCAGCTTGTACTCTGTTTCAGTCTAATTTGTGTCTAAATCTCTGCTTATGACACTGCTAATAAGTAATAATAATATTTACTTATTATGTTATAAGTTTATATATAATAATTATAATATTTTTAGATTTAGTTAGGGTTTGCTAGAGGTATTTTATTATTTATTTTATGTGTTATAAATTTTGTATTTGTAATGTTAATTTTGTTTGAAATTAAAATTTTGGATACAAGTAATGGTTAAACAGTTGGATGGGTACCTAATTAAAAATAATAAAACTTATAAACATATCGAGATGGATAGGGTTATGGTGATCTCGTAAAATATTAAAGTCATTGATTTTTAAATTTTTTTTAAAATAGTGTTTAACAATATTAATTTGTTAATATATTTTAATTTGGTAACGAATAAATATCAATTATTTTATTATTTATTAATTAATAATTATAATTATTAATTATTTTTATCAATCAAATTAAATAGAATCAATATTTTTAAAAGTAGTATTTTACAGTTGGTGGTTTTAACATTATGGGTGATGGCCATAACCATACTTACCAATATGGTATTGACAATAAGGTTTTTCTTAACATACAAGTTAATAACACTTTTTTTTTTTATATTTATTAATATTGAAAAATAAAATTTGAGATTTAAGTAATTAATTAATTAAAATAATTCATATGGTATTAAAGATGAAATTAATGTCAAGTTTTTCTTTTTTCCATTGTAAATCAATTGACTGGTCCATATAAATGGTTTTTTTTTCTTATAATCTATATACATATCTTTTTTTTAATATAAGAAATTATATTAATAATATTAATATTTATTTTTTTAAAAAATAAGAGAGTGTCAAATCTAAAACTTGAATTTTATGTCATTAAGGATACCATGACCTTTCTTCTCAAAAGAGAAGTATGACCACTTGAGCCAAGTGAATGGCATGTAGATATCCAAAACTGGGAAAAGAGATGGTTGACATTTGAAATGAAAACGAGGAAAACCAATATATGGGGAGTAATAAGAGTAAATGCTTATTCATTATTTTATTTTTCTAAGAAAATTAAGTAACAAATGAAAAAAGAAAGGGGTAAAAGTGGATAATATTAAAAAATTAGGAAAAGAAACGGTTTAAGCATTTGAAATGAAAATTAGTGCTTATTCATCATTTTATCTTTTAAGAAGGGTAATAAATAGAAAAAAATAATAATAAAGGGAAGGGTAACACCAAAAAATTGGGAAAAGAAACCGATTATGTGTTTGAAATGGAAATGGGGAATATCAAGAGAAAATATGCAAATAAATATGTTAATTTTGTATTTTTATTTAAGAATTTTAATTTTATTAGTGTTTAAATAAAAATGTCAATTTTTAATTTTTTTTATTTAAAAATGTTAATTTTTAATTTTCTTATTTAATGATTAATTGAATGATGATCATGTCATGGCGAACATGCTTTTTTTTTAAAAAAAATTAATATTTTAAATAAAAAAAATTAAAAGTTGACATTTTAAAATAAAAAATAAAAAATTGATATTGTTAAATAAAAGGAATTGAAAGTTATATTCTTATTTAAAAATATACAAAATTAATATTTTTAAATAAAAAAATACAAAATTAACATTTTTATTTATATTTCAAAATATCAAAATTTGAGTTATGTCAATTTGAAGCAACTTATAGGAAAGTACCAATTCAAACAGCAAACACAGACCATCCTATAAATCAAATAATCCAAAAAAATTTATGCTCTCAAAGTGAAGTAAATTGCTTCCGACTAACTAATAAAATCCATATGAAATAAAGAGAAAAGTAAAAATTTAGATGTCTTAGTAATTAAAATATCAAAACTCTTTATATAATTATTTAAATACTATTAATAAATCTTTTTTATATATTGATTTATTAAGAGTATATTTAAATAATTTTATAAATATTTTAATATTTTAATTACCAAAATATCCTAATTTTCTACTATCGCTAAAATAAAATTCCTTTTCATGTCTTGTTTGATTCTATTGAGAAAAACTCTTGAAACATGCATTTAATTCAACAACATATTGATGCAATTTTCTAGTGAAATTTATGATGAAGGAGCAGTTTTCTCAAGAAAAAATGACATGAGATTCATGGTAAATACCTTGTCTGGGATACACATGTTTCCCTTATGTAAGGCAATAAGACGACCCTGCTCATATCTTCATGAGCAAAAGAAGATTCATATATTGTCACATGTATATTCAATTCAAGAATGTACTCCGAAGGTTGCCAACCACGATTGTAACCTAGTAATAAAAGTACAGTAATGTGACACTTAAATCGTGACTTTTTGAGCCGAACCATAACCTTAATTCCCCATCTCCTAAATATGGTTGTAATTTAATTAATTTATTCAAAAAAAAAAAAAAAACGAAGAGTATATTTTGAAGGTCACTAGTTAGTACTAACTCATGTAATAGCTACTAGACTTGCAAAGGATCATGCATAACTTTTCTCATGATTTGTTTACACTCTAAGTTTATTGGAAAAAGAGAAACAACTAAACTCCCTAGTTATCTTCTAAATATTTTTTCTTTTCACGGTTACTATTTTAAATTAATTTTTCTCTATAAAAGGTAACTACAAGAGTGACATGTCCATTAACTCAGTTAGTTTTTGCTGATATGGCTTAAAAATACTAACGAATTCAACATTAATTTGATGTAGAAAGACTATTTTGCTGACATACATGATTTGTACTATGAACTTCCTAAATTTCCCTTCATTTTACTTCAAATTTACAAAACACACCATATTCACTTTCTTCCTCTTCCTCGTTTCTTTTTCATTGTACAAAAACTCCATTTTCAAACTTAAGCTTTTTAAATTTCACATACTCATAAATAAAGAAATTCCAAATGCCAATCAAAAAATGAAAATAGGAAATTTCAAATCAAAATTTAACATATTAAAATCACAAAGAAGTTAAAGAATTACACAACCAAAAAAATACAATTTTTTTAATTTGTGAAAAATTCATAAGTATTTGCTTTGAGATCCATTAATCTACTAAAATTTATTTAAAAAATATTGACTATTCTTTTTTTTTTTTTTTTTTTTTAATTTGAACTTTCTAGTCAATCAAACACAAAGCCTTTTATAGAATTAATTATAAAACAAAAGCCCATAAAGATCCCATGCAAAATCCATTATCTATTCTATGAACAAACACATCGATCTTCTTCCTCATCTATTGATCTACACCTTCTTTCTCCTTCCCATCTTTTGTCCTCTAAACATCCCACTCGCAATTTTGTTGTTGGCTACAATAGCCCCCTTTTTGGCAAGTGAGCTTACATCTGTTTTAGATTTGTTGTCCTCTTGCCACCTTCTCAACAATATGACATAGGAGATCTTCTTCTCAACCTTAAGTGACCTACTTAGTTCAAGCAATGCGCCTTGTTCATGGCCAAACTCATTGAAAAATTCTGGGTCATTTTGGGATATGGAGTTTCAATCCAGATCCATGACTTATTTCACTCTGAACTGCAATCATTTGACTCATTTCTCAGTAACAATGTTGTCTAGTATTGTTCCATGGGGTTAGATTCTCAATCAAGGAGCACCATATCTAATGGTCCATCAAAGAGAACCAAAACTGGTTCTTCTTGATGGAGAAGAACATTTATTTTCATTTATTTCATTTTTTGTCCTTTCGGGAATGTGGGACAAGTCCTGCAAGATGTGGGCCCAAGCAATGTGTTAGATGCCATATCATGAAAAATATTGCCACTTCATTATAAATTGTCCACATAATTTCCACATCAACTAAATTGTGATGGATTGTAACTGCCACATGACTACACCTGACTTAGCACTTATTTTTGGATTTTTTTGGGTGAATTTTAAATTATAAAAAATATTAATAAACAAATTAATTTAAAGTGTTAATCATTCAAAAAAAAAAAAATTTTAAAGCAAATAGGGGATTGGGGATTTCACCGAGTAAAATGGAGTAAAAATGGGTAAACTATGTAAGAAAAGTTGAAGAGTAGTACATAACTCGATCTTTACAGAGTGGCAATTATTAATACTCTTTTGTTTTTCTAACTATGTCCCATTCCCGTTTAGACATTCTTGGACTTTATCAAGATTCACTCTAGTGATCCATTTAGCATGATTATTTTTTAATTCATAACCATGTTTCAAACAATAAATGTACTTAGAACGCAATAATCAAACATGCCTATCATCTAGCATGATTATCAGAAATGTGAATGTTAGTAAATTCTTTACACCTTTAGAGAAACCTCATGTGCTTGAAAGGGTAGCCAATAATGGTATATTATATAGATGAACTTCATCTCTAATATTCATGAATTTTTATAAGTTTTTGTTCTTTATCTTTCACAGTCCCATTGACATGCTTTACAGTATGATATGCATTGGAAAAATGCTTAAAATGGCAATTGGCCTTCTCATAAACAAATTGATTTACATTCTCAATGAATATGAATGTTAAATGGAGCAAAATTATAGATTAATTGTGTGAGGAAGAAAGCAAAGCCCTTAAATCCAATTATTTGCGTATTTTGCAATGGATATAAGGTATGTTGAATATCAATAAGCTTACAACAACTCTAGACTAAGGAAACTTCATTGAATCTTAACACTATAGTTAAGGGTGCAAAAGAGCACATAGGAAAAGAGAAACAAAAAGCACATGGACAGAGGGATAAGCATGCAAGATGCTTGCATGTAAGTGTGCCATAAGTGTAATTGACCATATTTACAAATAAATATTGTAGATGGCTCTAATAAAAATAAACAAATTAGATTTTTTGTGGAAACTTGTTTTATAATTTGGCATCGAACCATAAAACAGGGATATTAACTGCCTAACTCTTATTAAATGGTTAATATAATACAATCTGATACAGTTGGACTATATTAGACTTTTTTATTTGTAAAAACTTTTAATGAAAAGTAAATATTATAAACCTATTTTTCTCTATAGAAATTTATTCACTACCACCAAGGAAAGGCAATTTAAGGGCAATCACAATTAAACAAAGGGTTTGTCTAAGGACACACAATAAGAAGTCATTATTAAGTAAAAATTATAACTTTTTTTCTTGACAAGAGTAAAATTTTATATTAAAAAAATAGGTTATGATGTTTAACTTAAAATTAACCAATCAAAATCTAACACATGACATTTATAATTAAAATAAAAAGTTAACTTTATCATTTTCAAGATAAAAAGTGATAATCATTACATAATTAATGCTCTTTATCATATGCCTTAAGGGCACATGATAAATTAACCCTTAGATAAATGGCCAAAACCCCTATTTGCACCCTCAATTTATTTGTTTTCCGTGGTCAACACCTTTCAGAATTTTTCCTCTCTATTCACACCCTCCACTTTTCAAAACCCGTGAAAAACCCAATATTTTAACAGGCCGTCACGGCACCGTTAATAACCATTAAAAATTGTAATACGTGGCATTAAACAGTAACATAATCCAATGTGGACTTTTTTTTTTTTTTGATGATATGGCATAATTAAACCATAATTAATTTTAATTTTTTCATTTTCTTCTTTTTCGCATCATCTTTACCATCTTCTTCTTCATCCTCCTGGGTTCCTCATGGAACCAAGAACCCAGAACCCAGAACTTTATGTCACATTTATTAATCCAATGTTGAACTTTTTTTTATATGTGTTATAATTAAATCATCATTAATTTTAATATCTTCATTTTCTTCTTTCCCGGCATCATCTTCACCATCCTCGTCCTCATCCCCCTAGGTTCCTCGCGAAACCCAGGTTCTGAGTTCTTCGTGGAACTTAATAATTTGCACAAAAACATGATAAGCATCTTCTACTCCTTTCCCACAAAAAA